CTTATACCTCATTTTTCATGTACCTTCGTTTCAAAACATGGTCATTCGATTACATTTTTTACATTCCATATTTGATAGGCGAGAATGCCTCCTGTTCAGAAAATTAACTTTATTGCTTACCTAATTGGTCTCCTACATGGATACTCAATTAGTCTTTTCATCTAGGTTTAGTAATAGAACAGGAGCGCAAAATGGTCCTTTATGAAAAGTATCCGACCGTCATCTGTAGGGTTGTGGTCTTAAATTAAGGGCAAGACCCGGCAAAGCTGTACCGACGTCGAATTCATGAAATGCTATACATTTGGTGTTTGTTATATAAAAACTCGTGCGAACAGCACAAATGGCCTCAAACTCTCAGATATGCTCCTTAATTATTGAGTAGGAAAGAAATACTAATCGAATATGAAGAAGAATAGTGGAAGATTTGAACAGGTAAGAGTACAGGAATGTTATACTGTACATGAGTCCGATAAACAGACAAAAGCAAATTGAACTGGAACTACCAACTAGAGAACGAACGAAACTCCGCATCGTCGATGATGCTATGGAAAAGTGACTCAGGTGCATGACTCATGCTGTCGAGACCTTAGATAGAAGATGACTTGACTTTACCAGATCAGAAACGTGTTGACAGGCAGATCCATGAGGTGTGCCTTCGTTCAAAACTAGGTTTCGTTAGTGACATGCGTCATCTGACTACCTGTTTTGTGCTTTGTTCGTGGGGAGAAGTTTCGAAACAAGAAAAAATTAGAAATTTCGAAATTCATCCTTTTTTTCTAGTTAAACGCACTGAGTACGAATGTGAGTGATATTCCTCACCAGTGATGGCGATAGTCATGTACCATTAAGCAATTTAGCCGCCTTGCCGTTCATCTGTCGGAATAATTTGTTTGACTTGTGAACGAAGGGTGCGCCAGATGTACGCTGTGTGACGTATTGCTGTGGACATGGCATGCGTATTACATCCAGTCAAGTGAACAATGAGTAAACAGCAAAATGCGTTGGAGCGTCGAACAGCGAACGCTGTCCATAGATTCGGTGGCGGAACGGCTGTAGCGGCGATTGCCGTGGCCACATCTTCAATCGGCGACCCCTGCGTTATTTGTATGCATTTTATTGCTTGAGTCAGTCTTGCAACTCAGTTTGCGGTTCCGAATGAAGTAAAAAGTTTCGCACGTCCGATGCAACCTCAACCAGGAGTTGCAATTTGGCAGCAGATTCTTGATGCCCTCGTTAAAGAATTTACAGTATAAAATGTCCTGCTCATCAGGAACCTGAAAGTAGAGCCGGAGGTTGAGACTATGTCGTCTGTGATCAAAATTTTGTAATGTACTCGTTTTCTTTAAATGCACAGTTCTGGAGGAAGGTTGGGAAGACACCTGCGATAGTTCGAATGAACTGCTGCATGAACCACTAGCCAACAGGCTCAAAAATGAAATAAACTGGGTCTGGGGTCGACAGAAATCACAATTCTCGTAAAAGGAAGTCAAGCAGAGCGAGACGTAGCTTTTTGACTTTTCGAGCTAGCGTTTGGTGTGCCAAGTCTCGTGCTATTCACTTTTTTAGTGCTTGCCTACGAGAGTGTGTCGAAGGAGTTTCTGAACAGCATAACTGCATCTTCTCTAGAGCTTACAGGTCGTAATCATGGAGGTATTGCGGTTCTATGTGGTAAACTCAGAAATTTATTGAAATTAAGTAAGAATAAAAACGGACAAAAAAGTTCTCGCTAGTGCCAGTATGTGCTAATAAAAATAGCGGCAATGAGGTCGACTCAGACTGGACGAATCTAACAAGTCAGAAATGACCGTGAACCTATTACAGCGATCGAACACCGCGAAGCATTTGGGAACGTTTCGTTGCGGCTGTCGTTGAGGAAAAACCGTGAGAAACGGACTAAAGCATTTAATGACTCACCTAATTTTTTTCCTGAGATTATGTCAAAAAGTGTCGAAAGGCTTTTGAAGAATTTGCGATGAGTCACAGTCGAAATGATAGAAATGGAGATATGAGCAATCTACATTAAAAACAAAGTAAAAATGAACGTGTATGGATGTGGCCGTTTGCGTTTTGAACAAGATTTCTCAAACGTATGGTACACACACACCTCCGAATTCAATTTGAAAATATTATGCTTAATGAGAATCGAAAACGATGGTAGAAAGAGTCAACACCAGGAGAATATATCCGACTGATAACGCAGGTATGACCTAACGAAACAGTACGTTCCAAGGTACCACGTAGAAGCTATGGCCAAATAAATCACGTTTTGCAATATAATAAATTTTTTTATGTTTTAAATAGACGTTAGCAGCTGGAGCGTGATTATCAAACATCTGTCAGTAAGTACCTTCTGCTTACATAAGAAGGCTCGGCAAAATTTTATGCAGTTGCATTGTGTCAATTTCAGTCGACATAGTACTTGTCATACCACTAACCTTGTTCGTCATCGATTATACGGTGAACCAACAGCTGCAGCAAGTAAAATTGTTCGAAATGTCGTGTGGCAGACGATTCATCCGCTCGCTTAGGACTGGTACATAACTGACTTGGAACTTGTATATTGGTTACATTATGAGAAAGAAAAGGATTAACGGATATTGGTATTAGGTCATGCTACTGGTGTGAGTTCGAAGTCATAATCATCTGATGCACTGTTCTT